TCTTATTTTTACTATAATTTGATATTTTTTTAACTATAATTTCTAATATAATATTTTACATTAATTATTAATAGTTATTTAAATAATAATTTGTACTATATATTATATATTAATAAATTATAAGATGATACAATTTTTTTTATTTTTTTTATTAACACTTAAAATAACACCCTTATTTTTGTTTTGGCCTATTTTTACTGGGATATTAATCCAAATTTTGATGATTTTCCTTTTTTTGGCTTGTGTATAGTTTATGCTAATTATATAAACTCTAAAAAACGGAAATTTATTTAATAAACTCGACATTTCCCCGATTTTTAGACCACTTGAATTTTGTTCAATGTTATTTAAAGTGTTATAATATACTATTTTGGATTTTTACACAGTAATAAATTACAAAAAAAAGGTATTAAAATTGTTATTAAAAATAATATTTTTTTTATTTTGTGAATTAACATTTTTTTTATTTATTGTTTCAAAACAATTAAATAAAAACCATATTGTATTATTTAATATTACAAATTATAATTATTATTACAAAAAACAATTTGTTAAAGTTAATTGTTTTTTTATAAAATAATGGTAAAACTATTTAATTGTTAATAAACAATTTGTACAGTTGACCAAATATTAGTCAGAGACCAAATAATTGTAAGAAGTAAAATAAATAGTTTTAAAACCTTAATCAAGAACTATTTTTAAAAATAGAAATGGGTTTCTTAGCATTATTTGGTGTACCTTTTTTTCACTTTTTTCAATAGTCATTTCCAAGGTAATTAACGGGAAATTCATCCTTCTTACAATTATTTGGTCTCTGATAATTATTTGGTCAACTGTACCTGGGTTTTAATATCCGGTTTTGTTTTTTATTTGTTTTATTTTTGAAACAAGTGTTATATAATAATTATTAATTAAATTAAATTTTTACTTTTTTATATACATATATTATTTATATAATGTATAATATATAGTTTCTGAACAATAATTTCATTATTGTCTTTTTTTATGATTTCAATTTTTAATTTATTTATTTATGAATAAGTAATTGTTATTTTTCAAATTTCAAAAAACACTTAATTTATCTCTATTGTTAATTTATATTAATATATATTATTTAAACACAAAATGGATTTATTTGACAATAATAGCTTCATGAAAAACTAATTGGTAATTGTTCTACTTTAACTACCCGACTGTTATTGTACCATACTTGGCTAAAAAATTAACAACCATATTTAACCGGCCAATAGTATTTTTTTTCTTTGGCAAAATGCACGAGACGCAAAAAATTGCGTTTTTTTTTCTATAAATATAAAAATGAGAAAAAAATTCTAAAAATAATTTACATATAAATTTGCTATTGTATGAAGAGGCATCTTTCAGCAGTTTTCACATTACAACAAGAGATCAGACACTAGGTTTTTACAATTATTCTAATGCGATTTTAGCTTTAGGTCTGAAACATAATCGACCAATTTTTTTCCCAGACACTAGTAATGAGTAGAAAAATCTTTATCATAACTGTGACAACATCGGAATAGCAAGACAAACTTATTACAATTAAATTTTTCGTTGATTTGTGCGGCAGAATGGGTTTGCAAAAGAATTGTTAGTTATTTTATTTAAAAAAATCTAAAAATAATTTTACACATTTTATCTAAACAAAAACAATAACCAAAATTTCAATTATATTTTTTTTAACGCGTTTTTTTGCGTCTCGTTTATTTTAATCGGTTAATACAGTCAAAATTTAATCCTTGGGTTTTATAATACCCAAATAATTTGAATTGTTAATGTTTATTACTATTGTTTTATAATAAACATATAATACTTTTATATTATTTATTGATTTAAATATAAATAAAAGTATATTTGGTTTGCACAAATACTTTGGGTAACTTCTAATAATCCCGCACAATAAGCTTTTTATCCACCATTATCAAATAATTTGTTTTAAAAAACAACCCCTAAACAAAAAATTACACCAGAGTTAGTCACACTTTTATTTATAAATGTTTTTAATTTTTATTTAAACCACATTTAACTCTAAGTGGTTTATATAAAAATTAATTTAAAAACATATTTATCAAATATCATTTTAGATATTAATATTTATATTAAATATTACATATTTTGCAAAACAAAAACTTAAGTATAAGAATCAACCAAAATTGTTATTATCCCCAAAATGAGTAGTTAAAAGATAAAAATAATAATCGGTATTAAGTTCGAAAAAAACATGTATTTTTTGAAAAGGAAATTATCAACTAATTTTTATTAATAAAAAGAATAAAAACAAATTATTAAAGATAAAACAAATACAGATAATCAGTACAGTCAATATTCGATATAAGGGAGAAAAATAAGAGGAAGCCCTTATATTGAATAATAGAAAAAAAATTAAAAAAAAAGAAATTAATGTGTTTGCTTATTGTTGGTTATTTCAATTTAAAAACCAAAAAATGGTAATAATTAAATTAATTTGTCACTAAGTTAAAAAGTCAATTAAAATAATATAAAAACTGTGTTTTATTATTTTTTAATAGAACATTTTTAATAAAAATAAACAAAATATAATAATTATAATAAAAATAGATAAACAAGTAAATTTTATTTTGAAATAATACAATGAATGTATTTGCATTCTTTCAAAAAGTATACTTTCCTTGACAACATATAATAATCAATTGGTATTCCCGATTTACGAACTTCGTTAAACTAATTGATCAATGCTTCCTCAAGTTCCGGGTTCTGTGGTTTTCTTATTCGTTTATACAAGGATGGAAAGATTATCAATGTTTCTTTAGAAATTGAACGCAAATGATAAACTTGCTTTGGAAAAATTACTATTTTCAGTTGTTGTCTGACAACTTCGATTACTTTCTGTGTATTTTGATAAGGATCAATTAAAACAACAATTTTTATTTTGTCTCGTAACATCAATAATGTTCTCGTTTTGACACATTTGGATTGCATTAAAACTTAATGATTTAACAGATTTATTTAAAGTTATTTAAGTCGAAACAAAGTTAGATACAAAAGTTTTATTTATTATATTAATTGTGTTAATAGATTTGTTTTTGTTTTTTGATTTATTATAAAATTTATTATTTATTTTAGAAAAAAAATAATTGCCAATTGTTTTCAAGACATAGGCAAAGTGTTTATTTTGGTTAGAAAAAAAATAATAATCAAAAAAAATATTTTTGTGACAAAAAACAAACCGAGGTATTTTTTTCTTAATTATACAATTCCTCATTTTTTCCCTTATATCGAATAACATTGGTACCCGGTATTCCCTTATATCGAATAATGACTGTAATTGTTTTTGCCGTTTATCAATTTAAAATAAGTTTGATAATTGCAAAATGGAGCATTAAAAGAGCAAATGTTTTAAAGTACAAATTAGAGAATACTATTATTTTCACTAAATTTCTAACATATCTAATCTCTGAAAAACACAATGAGTTTGAGTAAGAGAAAGAGCGAGGTTCCTTTGACAAAGCTCACTGCTCCAACAACAGAAGTAAAAAAAAGTTATCGAAAAGTTTGTGTAAGTCGTTATTTAATACATGTTTCAGTTCTAAATGTATCATTAATCAATAGAGTTTTATTATGAGGTCTAAGATGTTGTTCTCAACAACACCATCGCCAAATAATACTGTTTTACTAAGTACAAAAAGAGACCGGGACAAAGACCATTCATCGTCTAATGCATCACCAAGACTGCATTCCAAAGACGAGAAAGTCAGCTCTTTAATCATCTTTGGAAAGTCATTGAGTAAACTCACTATTCAAGAAAAAACATTTCACCAAGTGCCTTTAGTCGTGCATAATATCATCGTCTTATTATATCATAAACTGTCTCATCGACTGGACTTTTTTCAAGAACAGACAGTGTCGTGCTATGACTTTAAAACTTCAGAAAAACTCGGCGCAACTTATCTCGGCGATGTCCGAAAGATGTCCATTGACGAAATCATCAGCGCTGGTACCGATCTGGAGACTGCGAGAAAGTTGAAGAAGTTCGCTGATGTCGAACAACCAGAACACTTTTTTGGTTTGCTCTTTGTCTTTATTGCTTTGGCGATTGAGGAGGTTATCTACATGAAACTGATTAACAGAGTTACTTGATTTGAACCAAAACTGTCGAAATTATGAATTGATTAAAGTCAATAAAATTGCCAATGAATACGATATGGGGAAGTTGCCGAATTTGAATCAAGTCTGTGAGATCAAAACAGGCTTTGTGTTACTCAAAAAGTATTTGTTAGAGTTACCAAACCCACTTTTAAATGAGGGAATCTGTGCGAAGCTGGACCAAACACTATCACTACAATGCAAAATATCACAAGAAAAACTCCAACAAATTGTCGAAGAGGAGTTCAAATTGTTTGTTGGTTTCGGAGAAACGGTTGTGTGTGGACAAACAGAAACGTTCAAAGAGATTGTACTCTTTTTGAGATTCGTGGTTGACACATTCTTCTTAACACAAAATGAAAGAGACGAAATTTATATTTGTTTTTTTAACGCAATGATGCAAAGTGAATTGTTTAATTCAAAGTACATTCCGCTCGTCAATATACTGTTTAAAAACAACGTTTGTTTATTTACGTCTACTAACAACAAATGTTTTTCACGAATAGAAGTGTTCATTTGAACTCACCGATTTGTATCAGTACGAAGGAGAGAAAGTGATTCAAAAATTTCAGGACGTACTTACAGCACCCTACTTTGTGGATACCGTGCAGCTTGAGAATGATGAGTTGTTAAATGGATGTTTGTACATCACCAACTATAGAATTGTTTTTATCCCAGATACTTTACCAACATTAGTCCAAAAACGATTTTTAAGATATTCAGGGATATGTTCTATATGTAGTGTATACAACGTTACAGAGGATGTGAAAGAAGGATTTAAGAATGTCAGAATATTGTCGAAGGATATGAAAGTGCTTACGTTCCGAATGAAACAAAACAACGAGAGCGTTGAAGACTTGGTTCATGTCGAACAAAAGTTGTTTGAACCGTTCAATGAGACTGAAACGATTCCAGCCGACGATATAGACTATTTGTTGAATGAAATTGTTGTTGATAACGATTTAAATAGGCTTCAAATAACACCCGAGTCTACTAGCCACTTTCCAACGTTCAAACCAAATGTTGTTGTCGAAACAGAAGAGATGTTTGCAGTTACTGTATTTCAAACGAGCGAAAACTGTAAGTTACTCAGATTTCCAAAGGGAGAGTCGGGGTATGCAGCTTCCACCCCAAAAGGCTTCAGCCCACAACTTCCGGCCGATGTTAGTGGCATTTTCATGATGTCTCCAATGGATAGTTCCGATGTGATATCAAAAGATGTTAATTCGATATTGGAAACGCTGTTATCAGTAAATGATGAAACACAAAACAGAACGTTTGCAAAGAAGGTGGAAGACTTTTCGAAAATTATTTCGAGAGCACTCGACTTTTTGACAAAATGTGTGAAGGAGATGAAAATGACAAACGCCGTTGTTGTGTTACTTCCCAGCAGTTTTGAAGACAGATGTGTCTCTGTTTTTTCAGCGTTGACTCAATTGGTGGTTGATAAGTATTATAGAACAATCACAGGCTTTGTTGTGTTATTACAAAAGGAATTTATTCAATTCAAGTTCTTTGCGAATGGAGACTCCTCTGCCGCATTTTTTATATTCTTGGTTTGTTTACAGGCCCTCATTCACAACAACGAATCGTCTTTTGAATTTGATGACAGACTTATCGACTTCATGTATACTTCATATAATGCTAAGCGCTTCTCTGAGTTCGATGGAAATTTGTATAACGAGAAGTCGTCGTTTTTCAAAATGCTGCTTTTCAACCAACACGAGTTTAAAAGTCAATTTTTCCACAATAAATCTGGCAACGACAAAATTATAATACCAGAAAATGGGTTTGTATTCTTTTTCGATAACTTCATAAACTTTTCGAGGAAGAGTTACTTCATATGCAAAACTCAGAGTCAAATCAACTCAATAAACAATACAAAATTGTCGCACTTCGAGGAGAATAGTCTCTTTTTGAACCTATTCGTTGAAACAAAGGAACTCGATTTGTCAAATAACTTCTTCATAGAGTTTCCGTTGCATTTATGCAAAATGACACAATTGATAAAGCTCGATTTGTCGATGAACAAATTGATCAATTTCACCAACGAAATATCGAGACTCACCAACTTAACACATCTCTCACTGGCAAACAACCAATTGACATACCTTCCCTCACTTGAAAAGCTTCCACTAAAATACCTTGACATTTCATCAAACAACTTTTCTCGGTATTCACAATTTAACTTTGGGAAGGACATCGTTGATTTTAAGGGTTGGCACTTACCAGTGTACCCGATAACACTCTCTTCTGACATGGCATTAACTTCGTTGGACTTTTCTTATTCCCATTTTGATATACTGGACATCATTGCAAACCCGCCAAGAAACTTACTTGAACTGAAGATCACACACTGTGGATTGGAATTGATCCCAGAGGAAATCACAACTCTTTCTATCACACGACTTGACGTGTCATCAAACAAAATCAATAAAATGAACTACTCATTCTTCTCAATGACTTCACTCAAAGAAATTGACTTAACAGCAAACCCGTTGAAATTAAGTATACTCTTTTCGACAATGACGGGTCTAAAAGTGATCACCAACAACACAACTTCAATGAACATCGCGAAGTCTGCACTCAAAACGCGAACTCCTCGGGCGTTTAATCGTACCGTTTCACTTAACATCGTCGAAATAGCAGCCGACCAAACAACACAAAAATGGCAAGAACTCGAAAAGGTTCTATTTGTGGGCGACGACTTCAGAAAAGAGGTCTTTCAGTTAATCAACAGGAAGTTACAAAAGAAGGGGAGTATCACCACGATTGCGTCATCATCATTTTACTTTGAGCCAAAAGATAAAAAGAAGAAAAAGGTGTTATTTGAAGAAATCCCGACATACACCATCAGAACTAAAATGTGGGAATATCACCATACATGTTTTGTGGTGTGTAAGAACGAGAAACTCGGGAGTGATTTGGACGAAATTTTGGAAAATATTGGGAAGCTTAATATGAAGAAAACAGTGTATTTGATAACGGGATACACCGTTGATGAAGATTTTTTGAAAAGTTACAACACTAAATATGGAATGAAAATTGCACCACACAAGTACATATCAGAGAAGAAAAAATGCACGTCACTTTTTGCAAAACTCATCAAAGAAATCGACCAAAAGGCGGTTGAAGTCTCTGAACCATGCCTTCGTGTACTCAAGGAGCTGGACATGTTAAAGACACCGGAGAGCTGTTTGGATGTGTCGATGCTCAAAAATCTGATGGACACAATGAAAATTGAAAATGGCGAGAAAGTTGTGAAAACACTTATTGGCCTTGGGATGATCCTTACAACTAAAGACCAAAGGTTTGACACCACGCTCGACAAGTTGGATGACAATGATAAACTTCTTGTTGACTTTTCATTCTTCAATACAGTCGACGACTTGTTCTCGTGCAGCCGCAGTCGTGTTGGATTTTTAACACCAAAGGTACTTGAAACCATTGGCGTAAAAAGTAGTTCAATTGAGTTCGTCATCGAACTTTTGGAACAACACGGAGTTATAACTTTAACGCAGAGAAAATACGCAAGAAGTTTGGGATTGGAGGGAAGGTTCGATGAAATTGAAAAGAGCTTCAATTGTCAGTCGTACCCAACAAAGGAGGCGCGAAACTCGAATGGGAGTGGGGGAAGCCTTGTTTCGAAATACACTGAAAAACGTTGTTTGATATCACCGAGGGATCGAATCGAAACTCCCGGTATCTTAATGTGCACGTTCAATAATTACGAGGACAATTACAACTTTTCTGCGTGGCCAAAAGGACACCAAAAGAACGAAACGGAAATTGGAAGAATTTATTGTGTTAAGTATTTGACTAGTAGTGTGTCGAATGAACTCATCTCGTCGTTTATGTTGAAATACAATGTTTTGTCGTACTGGAAGAAAGGTGCCATATTGATATTGAATAGTAAAGAAAAGGATGTGAAGGACAAGATTTATATTATGGTTTCTGCAGAAGAAGGTCGGAGACAAGTAACTGTCCGACTGAGATATTTACTTTCGCGACGTACCGCATATTTTGTGATGAAATTGCAAGTAGAAATCGGGCTCTTTATTGACACCGTGTTGCGATACAATTCGACTGAAGTTGAAAAAGTGCTTGAAATGTGTTCTGAGTGTCTTAAGAATGGTGAGATCTTTACAACGACACAACGACAAGTCAAAGAAGCAGTTGAAAAGTTCCAGTACCGTGTTAAAGTCGGCGAGCATAAACACACTATTAATGCCTCAGTTTGTTGCTTAGACTTGATCATAGATACATTCCCACGTATTAAGATGATGAAAATGAAAGATTTAACCTTTGTGAATAAGATTGCAAGCGGGTCCAATTCAACCATCGAGTTATATGAATATGTCAATCCATTAGAAGACAATTTTGAGTTACACAATTACGTTGTGGTGAAAACGGCGAAGTGTGATGTGAAAGACATTGGCGTTGATGAAAAGAGTAAAGTCGAGGATTTGTACACCCAATTTGTCGACGACTTTCTTCACGAGTTCTTCTTTTTGAATTTCCCCGAGTCCTCACATCTTGCAAAAGTAATGGGATTTTCCTTTGATCCAATGTTCATTACTATGGAATATTTCGATGGCGGAAGTCTCTTTGATATGATACACGAAAAACAAGCGAAGTTTGACATGAAAACCAAGTTGATGATTGCAAAACAAATAGCGGAAGGGATGGAGTGTTTACACACATTTAGAATTCCATTGATCCACAGAGACTTGAAATCGCCCAATGTGTTAATACGACTCGATGGGGCGGGAAATTTCAAGAGTTGTGCGGTGAGTGATTTTGGGCAGACGGTTGCAGTGAATTCTATTCGAAACGACAATGAAATTGAATGCCCTTATTGGCTTGCACAAGAAGTCATATGTGGAGAGCCGTTCACACAGAAGAGTGATGTGTATTCATACGCCATTGTTTTGTGGGAATTGGTCACTGAAAAGTTCCCATTCAAACAATTCAATTTCTTCAGTGTTGTCAGAGAAAAGGTCAAAACAGGCTACCGACTTCCTATCGATGTGGAGTCCCCTCTTAACCAACTTATCACAAAGTGTTGGAGTGTCGACCCAGATGAAAGACCGACCTTCTCAGCAATTAAGGCTGACGTTTCTATGTTATTAAATAACGAGTGTTAATTGTTTATTTTTGGTATGATTCTATTTGTTGTTTCGGGATATTTTAATGTAATACATATCAATATAAATGATTTGAAAACGTGTAAACATAATAATAATTCTGCTGGTCATATGAAACATTTTATTCAATTATTTTAATTAATTAAACTATTAAAGTATAATATGTTTAGATGAATTAAAAAAAGACCGAGTTGGTTGTACTCGTTTTCGTACAAAAATTGCAACAATTTGGACAAAAAAGAGAAGAAAACAAATTGCATAAAATGAAAATGTGTTGATAAGGAAATACCCCGAGTTATAAGGAAAGAACCGTTTACTATAATTTGTTGAGTCTTTGTTTTACTTTGAAACACCGATTCCTTCGTACATTCAAATTAAAAAACATAGAAAATTCCTTCGTACAACATGATAAGCGATTGTTCAAAAATTGCACTTAAGAGTTAGAAACGAACAGATCATAGGATCATGTTTTCTTCAATTGGTAATTCTTATACGTGTCAAACTATATATAAAAGATGGAACAAATTAATCAAATCACTTCTTTGAAATGAAATTCATCGTCTTTGTCCTCATCTTCGCTGTTGCTTTCGCAACTGTTACTGTCAATCACGAGGGTAAAATCGTTTGCAATCTTTGCAAGGATCTCATTATCACACTCGAGAACCTCTTGACCTCTAAGGGCGCTGATAAAGTCAAAGAATACATTGACAACCTCTGTGGAAAGGTTTCTGGATTTTTGGCTGGCCTCTGCACTAAGGTTCTTGATTTCGGTGTCGATAAGCTCATCGAAATGATTAACAACAAGGTCGACCCAGCAACCATTTGCAGCAAAATCCATGCCTGCTAATTGACTCGTTTCTTTTGTTATGTGTTAAATTAATACTTTTGTATAACATTGAAAACAAAGAAAGTAAAAGGTGTATTTTCTATTTATATAAAAACATCATTTGTGTTTTATTGAAACTTTTCACATCTATCAACATATTTTTTATATATTATATATGAATTATTTTTTTAGAATATGTTCATGAATAGTTTAAGTTGGTTGAAATTTATTAACTCAATAATTATATGAACTTAATAACAAGAGAAAAAATGGTTAAGAACCGATTTTTTATCATAATATTGTGATAGTTCTATTGGGTGAATAGAAATAGATATTCATTTGTGTCGCATTTTCATTATTTAAATTGATTCTTTTTATCGACTTGTATTAATAGCATGGAAACAATTACCCGATTAATTACTCAAACAACATAATAAATGTAAATAACAATTGAAACCAAATTTCTTTCAAAAAAAACAAGAGGGGAACTCAAAACCTAAACTAAAAAACTTGTTTTTATGTTTGAATCCATCATCTCTGAGATTCTAACAACAGTTCTTGGGAAGTACATCGTTTTGAACCCCCAGATGTTGAAAATCAATTTGGGGAAGGGGGAAGTCATTCTCTCCAACCTTTCTCTTCGAAAGGATGCATTGAAGTCACTTAACCTTCCCATAGATATAGTTCACGGGCAAGTAGCACGCCTTCATGTCAAAATCAAAAATTTGAGTGAAATAGTCATTCAAGTTGCGAACGTTACAGCGCTCTGTGTTCCTCAAAAGCAGTTTGTGTATGACGCAAAAAAAGAAATGGAAGAAGATCTCAAAAAGAAGTTAGAAGCAATTGAACAGTTTGAGGCTTTTACTAAGATCACAAGTGGCGATTCCGGGTTTACGGCCAAGATCGTAAGAAATGTGTTGGAAGGGTTAATAGTGACTGTTTCAAACGTTCATTTGCGGTATGAAGATAATGATGAAAACACTGGTATTTATTTCTCAAATTTGACGTTTTGTAACGCAAAGGAGCAACCTGTTGGGATCATAAGAAAAGAAGCCGTTGTTGAATCTTTGATGTTCTACGCTGGTACTGAAAAAATGGAGATTAACGAGAAACCAACGAAGATAAACAACATCACGGAAATGCCGGAATTAACTGTTACAATCGACTTTGTACAAAAACATTACAAACAAATTAAAGTGTATGTGCAAGCGAACATGTTCAAGTCTACATTAACACACAAACAGTACCAAGTGTTTTTAAGTGTTGTTGGTAGACTCTCTGAGTACGCACAAGCAATCAAATTTCTTGGATTAAGACCACAAGTCCCAGTTGTTGGTAATGAAAAGCGTTGGTGGATGTATGCTGTTGATGCTTTAAAGAAGAAAAAGCAAGATGACGACAACAAAAAGGTGCGGGAAGATGTCATCAGAAATTATGAGAACAGTTACACTGCGTTGTATTCCAAATGGAAAGACAGTGGTAAAGATGACACGCCCAAAGAAATATTAGCGATGGACAAAGAGCTTCGCACTGATGAAATTATCGAATTAAGAAAGAGGGGGTTGGCCAAGTTAGCATCTGGCATGAAGACGGGGTGGTATCATCGAAAGAAAATGGGGATGACCAAAGAGGAGGTAGAAACCCTCTGTCGAATGTTAGAAGCGAATGATGTTAAAATTGAAGATAAAGAAGAGATGTTTCGACTTGAAATTCATTTAGAGTATGGAGAAGTGTCTTTAGAGAACAATGACAGGAGTCGTACCTTAGCTCGACTCATAACAAATAATATTGATTTGAAGTGTGTGATCTATGGGAAAGGCTTTCAAATTCAATTTGTGTGTGACAATGCGGAAGTTATGGAGTTTATTAGTTGCCATGAAAAGGTGTTGAAAAGAAACATGGATGGAGTGCCTTTAGTCCATGTTATTATCGAACACCCAATCAAAGGACCAGATGCTATTATCACTGCTAAAGTAGCCGGGACTGAAGTCTCGTTTAATAAAGCACTTTTGATGGGAATGTACCAGTTCTTTGTTGTTCCAGACAAGATTAACATCTCACAGATACGTGCATTTGCTGAACAACAACTTGGGAAGTTCTATCAACTTGCGACGAACAGAATAGGAGAAATAATAACTAACCACCAACCAACTATTCAACTCAACGTCGAAATTGTTGCTCCAACAGTCACCGTCCCACTCTTTTTTGATAACAAAGAGTCTCCGTGTTTTAGAGTTTCACTTGGTAATTTGCGAATTGATTCTGTTGATGCGGCTGTTGGGCAAAGCTTCAAAGTGAAGTTAAAAGATGTTGATGCCTCTGTTTTTGGTTCCATGAAGAACTCAACACAATTGTTCTATGCAAATTATGTGTTACAAAATTTCAGTGGAGAAGCAAATGTGAATGTCGGTATACCCGATTTGCCTTTTGTCGACATCACTGCCGTGTTCAAACCATTTGTGTGTAAAGTGAGTAAAGCAAAGATAGATTTGGTCAAGGAGTACATTTCAGAATTCTCGACCGGATGGGACAAAGTGATTATTGGGAAGAAAATAGAAGGCGAACTTTCACTTGATGACTTGGCGTTTATTAAACAACAGAAGGAGTTGATCACCAATTTAATGAAAAAGGCTGCGAAAGAGTCTTTTAGAGTGAATGCAGTTCTTGAGAAGTTCGAACTTGGTGTTGCACAAATCGGTGACTCTGAGGAGAGACACATGATAACACAATTGATAGTCGAGAAAGTTGGATTAAAAGTCGGAGTGAAGATGAATGGTGCGGATGTCACTGCGACGGTGGGGAGTGTCGAGCTTGAAGATCATGTCAATCAAACGCCCAAAATACCATATATCATATCAAGTAAATATGATGGGAATACTACATGCTGTGAAGTTAAGATGAATGTGTTGTGGAACTTAGGGTTGATTGATATCAAAGGCACGACTCAAGTGAATAAGGTGGGTGTAGTTGTTCAACCAAAAGTAGTTAGTGAGTTAATAAAATATGGAATGAGTCTGTTATTCTCTTACAACATTGACCTTCGGTCAAAACAAGAAAAGGAAGAGTCACTGAAAAAGGTGTTAAAAGTTATGAAAGATGCTGTAGGCATTTTAGATGAAGATGATGATATAAGTTTTGAAGAAAAGCCTGTAGTAGTGAAGGAGAAAAAGACGTCTGAAGTTAAAGAGGAGAGTACCACTGAAACACAAAACAACAAAAAGACCAAAGAACATCACAAAAACAGATTTCAAAAAGAACTTGAAGCCTTTGAACTTAAAGTCCATGTTAACATGGAAATGTCTGTAGTGGAATGTGGACTGTGTTTGGTGGAAGACAACGACAAAATGGCTACCATGTCTAAATTACAAAACATGCGTGTGGGCATCCAATTTATTGACAAACCCGAATTCTCTGTTGAAGTGGGCAAAGCCAATATTTTTGAAATAGATGAAGGCAGTGGTGATAAGCGTCCGGTACTTGTTTACAACGGAGATAAATTGCTTCAAATGAATTATAAACAAAGTGTTTTGACTGTGAATGAACAACAACTGCCACAACATGACATTACACTCAATGTTGACACATTATATTTCTATTTGTGCCCTTCATTCATTACACGAACAATCCGAATTATTGCAAGCAACTCTTTGATTCAAGCAATTGATATAGAAGACGTTCACAAACAGTTGGTTAAAGGTTTCAGTTCACTATCTACTAACTTAAAATCGGCGATGAAAAGCATCACAATCAAAAAAAGAGTTTCAAATGGCGAAATTTCACTGTTCAACCCTAAAATAGTGTTTAACTCACCACAAATACGACTGTTCAAAGACTATGCAAGTGGTGATTATTCACTGAACGCGTCTGCTGGTGTCATTCATATCTCAAGTGACATCACACAAGAGGAAAATACAATTCGACAAATGTTTATGATTCAAACGGACAACATCGACATCTCAACTACACGAATGAGTCAGACTATTCCAGTTATCAGAGAACTGAGTTTTGAATGTCAGGCGTGTGTCGAAACCCAAATTGAGGAAAAGACATCACCAAGAGTCACTATTGTGTGTGTAGTTGATAACCCACTGAAAGTCGATCTTGAAGCCACACAACTCCAGTTTTGTGTTGATTATATCTTGTCTATTAAAGACAAAGTCGATTTGAAAATGTTTGAAAATCTGATCGACCACATCAAATCGACTCGACAGAAACGAGCTGCAAAGAGTGTGGAGTACACAAAGGATTTGAGAAGAAGTACAAGAAAGGAAAAGGTGTATACGTTGACTGGAAACTTCTCAGTCAAAACAATAGAAATTCTCTTCAAGAATGAAAACAATTTGGCACTGGCTGGTGTCACCAATGTGAATGTTGCAATTCGAATGACAGAGGACATGTACTTAGAAGGAGAGATTAATGTGTTTGATGTCAAAGTTGAAGATGCACGACCAAAAGCAGAAGGTCGGTTCCACAAATGCTTTTACAAGAGGTCCGACTCTTCATTTGCGACAATGAAATTTGATATGTTCATACCAACGCAGCAATTGATATCTGAGAGTGTTATAAATTGTCCATCTATAGTGATTATACCATCACTGTTTGCAGATTTGGCGATGATTGTAATGAAATTGATTCCACAAAAGCCACAAATAGAGAGTGAAGCACAGAAGAAAGATAAGAAAGAGTGTGATAGCACTGTCATCAAGAAAATAACTTCTTCAATTCAAGTCAAAGAAGCTATTGAAGCAATGACTCGATGTGAAGTGAAGGATTCGGTATTACAAGATGACGCGGATCTTAAGAGACACTCTGGGTCTAAAATATTCAATAATTTAAGAGAGAAATATCCAAAACTCTCAGACCACGCAATTGAATATTTGTGCGACGAGATGTTGAGACAGTCATTCATCTGTGGGAGTTTCCCATTTAACTCCAATGAGATGTACACGGTATTAACAGCGGATGTGGACAACCAGACGTCTATCTTTATGCCATCATTTGAACCAAACAAATTAAAGCCTGAATTTAAAAAGAATGATGAAGATAGAATGGTCTTTATTGTTGCAATAAACAACTTATCATGTGTGATAATGATGGATGACGACGATTTGAATACTGCATATTTACTCAGTGAAGTGAATGGAAGTGGCAACTTCTCTGTGAAGAAAAGTTCTGCGATGAACTTTGTGTGTATGCTGAACCAAGTAGTCTTTAAAAATTGTAAAGCAGAACAAGGGTTGTTGAAATATGAAGGAAACGTGATGAACGATGGCTTTGATTTTTCAATTCGAGGGACATTAGAGCAAAATTCGAGTCTGCTTGACTTCTCAAGTCAGTGCATTTTTACACCAGGAAAATTTGTGGTGTCCTTTGACGACATTCGAATGTTCAGAGGTGGTGTAAAGACACTCCAAAAATTGATCAAACGATTCAACGACTTGAATACCGGAAAACCAAAACTTATTGCAAACCAAAAAACTACTTTGGCAACACTATTTAGAAACCCTCCAAATATAAGAATTGATGGAAAGGACTTCTATATCCACTCGACATTCTCAATTAACGATTTTGAAGTGGTGATGAACCACCCAACCATTTTAACCCCTGTTTATAGAATGAATGTGGTCAAAGCGGAAATGAAAGTCTCTGGATTCAATGACGATATATCAGTGAATATATCGCCAATGGTCTCATTCGACGCATTTAACCAGAAGTTTGGAGAATATGAGAGAGTCGTCGAACAAGTTCAAATGACTTTGACATTGCGCATGTCGTGTGATATTGTGGAAGGAGAGCCCCGAATGTGTCTTGGTGTCAATTGTGGGTTTGGCGATCCTGTGGATGTGACTGTTACAAAGGAATTTATCGACCAGTCAATTCATATGTACAAACAGATTGACAAATTACTGGAAGAAGCGACTGGGTCGACTTTGTTCAAAGAAGTTCGTGTCGTAGACCACTTGACAACAGTAACCACACGAAATAAGATATGGGTCAGTATAGATGGAAGAGAAAAGGAAATTTTAGAGGCGAATAAAGAGACTCGATTGGGAGTGGATACGTTTGGAAAGGAAATTAAAGAATTCTATTTAGTAGTTAATGGAGAGTCATTTATAGTTCCATTGACTACAACGATGACACAATTATATATTTTAAAGAACCGAGTCTACTTCATGAGTCATTTAGTTTATTGTGAGGATGGATCGAAAACAGTGTTCTTGGAGAGTTGTAAACAACTGAAAAACGTGTTGGACATCCCAATCACAATTTGTTTGAGAAAAGACGATGGGACTCAACACCAATTAGTGTTAAATCCAGACGAAAAACGGTCATTACCACAAGAATTTGTTAAGTGCCCCATTCAAGTCCAATTTGAAGACAAACACATGACGTTCATGAGCGACAATATTACTAAGACGGTATTGTGCCCAATTGATAAATCAAAGAACGACTTTTTGTTAATCGAGCCAAAGAGTGTGACATTTGAAACACCAACTGGCAACTGTGAAGAGATGAATTATCTGATAAAATACCCATTCATGATATCTAACATGCTTCCTCGAGTTGTGAATGTGTCTATTGAAAAGAATAGTATGGTTGTGGAGAGTGGGAAAACAGTACGAATTGTAAGAAGACCATCAGATAACTTCCTCTTCGAAGGAGAAGGGACTTCAATCAAAATTAAGATGAGGAAATTTGATGATGTCACCATAGACTATTACAAATTGACAAATGGAATGTACATTAGAGCTCGTTGGGACAAAGGACTATGTGTTATCGATAGTGAGTTTCTCCTCTTTAACAAAACAAATGAAAACATCTTTGCAGAAGTTGGACGCTCAAAGGTACTCATCCAACCCAATTCAAGTGGAAGTATTATGACCTTCCAAAAAGACAATTTGAAGTTGGTTATGTGCGAAGGATATTCTCAAGAATTACAACCAAAGTCCATCACATCGGGCGACTTGTGCATTATAGGGAAGAAAGAAACGAATTTTGTTCACTTGGAATTATCATCAGACCCCAAACTTGAAGGTGTCAAAATAGTAACAATTACATATGCGTATTACGTCATTAATGTGACTGATGTCGATTTAATTGTGAAATGTGGAGATCAAGGCGATTATAGAAAAGTAAGAAAATGTAGTGGTGACGACAATACCCCTGTTCCTTTGATACTTCCAAAAACAAAATCGACAGATGTTGTACCATCATTTGAAATTGGACGAAGTGACAAAGGGCCGTGGTCAAAGCCCATTTGTTGTGTGACTGGGAGTGCAACAGCGTTTTGTTTGGTGAAAGGAAACAACATGTTTGAGAGAGACAGTTTCTATGTAACTGTTAGGAATTATGGGTCTGGACAATGTGTTGTTATTGAACACCAATCTGCACATAAATGTAAATACCGACTTGTGAATGACACAAAACATGAAATAGTGTATGCTGATGTTGCTGGAAGGTTTGGTTTTAAAAACACAATTGAGCCATTCACTGAGACTTCCATTGAGTTTCCAAATACCGTCGACATTCAAAAAGTGTATGTCACATCGAACTTCTTGCCGGAACAAGAGATGAAATTTTCATTAAAGAAATTGAAGTTTTATGATCCCTTCACAACAGATGCATTATACTTTGGGTACACTTATATCATTAACGGCATCACAACATTGACCTTTACAACAAACCAAGTCAAAGTAATGGAAGAGTGTCCTCTGTTTATTTTAAACAATCGCGAACAAAATGGGAAAAGTTCAATTACTTCTTCGTTACATGTCCCCATTGTAACATTCTCATTTAGAGCTCCAAGTGTTGGTGTGGACTTGGTTGACCATCATAGAGATGAATTGTGTTACACCCGCTTCTTAAGTGTCAATGCAAATGCTCGAATAAATTCGAAGTACTCAGAAGCAGCGTGTGATGTCGGAAGTATTCAAGTTGACTGTGACACAATCAATGCGGATGATGAAGTCCTTGTTTATATACCAAAGACCACTTTACCTGCTTTCCACGTCTCCACACAAGTTATTCAAAGTGAAACATCAGACACATTCTTCTTTTTCCCGTTTATTAATGTGTTAGTCCAACCAATCACAGTTGCCGTTGAAAGTAGTTTCATTGCACGTTTATATGACCTTTTCAAGTCAATTCCATTCCATTTGTTCTCCACAACTACACCAGAAACCCCTAAAGGAATTCCTCCACTGAACTCAAAATTCTCTGCGTTCATCAAATCGCTTGTGTTACAACCAATTGTTCTTTCTATTTCACTCAATTTGCAACCAAATCAGTTGGTCTTCATCCCATATAATGCAGCAACAGCACTTTTACACGCACTCGGTTCTTCATTAGTAAACATCAGAGATTCTTCAATTAAGTTGAACGCCTCAATCGCAAAGAATATCAACGGCGACATGGCCTCCTTAAAACAGGTTTTCATCGAACATTACTACAAGCAAATCATGAACCAAGCCATCCTCCTCTTTGCAAATTCTTCGTTTTTGGGAAACCCTCGAGGGCTACTGAAAGACATCTCAACTGGATGCCACGACTTCTTCTACGAGCCAGCACAAGGCCTCACTGTTTCCGCGAGTTCATTTGGGCATGGGATGGCAAAAGGTGTCAGATCTCTGGCTAAGAACACTACGCATGGTGCCGCGTCTTCCGTTTCTGGGATGTCGAAGTCTTTTTCGTCCTTTGTTGCTTCTTTAAGTTTTGATCAGGCGTACATTGACAAGAGAAATGCAGACCGCCGTGCGAAAACGACAGGAGAAGGAATGAGAAAGGGGTTTGAATCGTTTTCAAGTGGGATGTTCAATGGTGTTGCTGGGTTAGTGTATCAGCCTGTTGTTGGTGCCCAGAAAGATGGTGTTGGTGGATTCTTTGCTGGTGTTGGGAAAGGAGTCGTTGGTGTCTTTGTCAAACCAGTTGTTGGTGCAATTGATTTAGTAGGTAAGACTTCCGAAGGCATAGGCTCAAGTACCAACACGAATAAGATTCTGAGGATCCGAGAACCAAGGAGTGTCAACTACAAAGTCGTGATGAAGTCGTACGACAAAAATGAGTCATTCTTACTGAAGTTGGTGAGAAACACCAAATTGGATGTGTACATTGTTTCTTACTTGTCACAAGGGACATGTGCTTGGGTTCTAGGAGAAAAGCACTTCTACGTCTATGAAAACAACGACATCAAAATCTTCAAATACCCATCACTTGAAATCAACAGAACAGTTGATGGGCTTCAAGTTGTTTGTAAAGCAGTGAAGTATACACACTCCCTCAGAGTAAAAGTGGACATTCCATCAAGTATAGCTTTTCTGAAAAGAGCTCAGAATGTGATCAAATTTAATTAAATTCATGTTTACTTTGTTTATCACTTTATAACGATTTATAACTTTATAATAAGTCAAACAATAATTTGGAGTGATTTATAACAAGAGTTCTTAATTCGACATCGCGTCGGAAGAACTTATGCCTTCCATCGGGACACGAACTACTGCAGGAATGTCCATTGCGTCAGACTCAAACCACTTGACAAACGAATTGACAAAGTTGTTTCGTATAGCACAGAACAGAATGTAGTTGTGGTACAACTTGAATAAGAATAGTGAGAAAACAAAGCCAATGTATATGTCTGCTATGTAGTGCATTCGATTCATGATATACAACACAAAGCAAATCAACGTAAACCCCCACATCGCAAATTTCACGATTGTCATTCGAAGGGGGTACCCGTACGGCGTCGAACTCGGTGTACTTCCCAAGATGTCAAAGTCAAATATAGGTGCTCGATGCGAATAATGATGCCACAAACACGCACATATCACCATACTCGCCGCATTCCCACTGAACATCATATCACACTCAATTCGATGAACACCAAGAAGCACTAAAAACCCTTCTAATAAAATGTTGTTCGTATTGACGGTCGACTTCCTCCCCGATGGATCAGGCAAAATTGTCGTGAAGACGCACAACCCTCGTATGAAATAAATAACTCCCTGTAAGAAAAAGTATCTTCTGAGGATCACAAATCGATACGGCGTCAAGAAAAATCTGATCAACGTCGTGATGATAAAGATCATTGAAAGAGTCTCAGGAAGTTCGCTAATTGATAACACTGGAAGGACATCAAACGCGACGTCGGCAATAACTATTTCATCTGTTGCTTGTGGGTGTGTCTTGACCCATCGTTCAAACCGTTTTTGTGTCAATACCTGGAAGATCCCATTCCAATACCCACAGATGATCATAAAAACGAGGGACCAAAAAAATGGGTGAACAAGAAATTTCATTGTTTGTTGGAGAGGACTTTTAACGAATTGTTTCCCCATTCGAAAGAGTTCTTCAAACGTGTCTTTGAGTGCGTAAATTCCACGTGCGGGAAAATTGCAGTTTGGAAGAAGAAGACAAATTTCTGTGGTAACATTCGATGGTGTTGGGTTGACTGGATTTGGTGGGTTTGTTTGAGTGTCCGTTTCCATTGCTTTTTGATAGTTTTCCTTTTCATGTTTTTTCACTTTTTCAATTTTTCCATTTGGATTTTATTCCGTTTTTTATGTTATAAGTCAAATTATTTCGACTTCTTTTATAGTTATAAATAGTTTGACATATTTCTATAATTAGATTCTCGAACTATACTTTATAGTTTATTTTTACTAGTAATTTAATTTGTTTAAGAAATAAAAAAACATGTTGGTTTCTTATTAATTTATTATTATAATTATAATAAGAAGGTTTTGATATAAATGTTAATATTGTATTATAGATATAATACGATAAAAATAATTACAGAAGGGGGAGTGAG